ATATATTCCACATTAGAAGCTTAGTGAAAGCTAAACAAAATATTTTAAGTCATTGTTTGTCATTTCCTAGTCATAGTAGGTAGCCAAATAAGAATTTAAATTTACAATTTATAGTTTTGCTGTCATTAATATTCTCCTAATCTTTTCTTTTAATCTAAGTTTACTTAAGCAAATCACTTCACTTACTTATGCATGTAAATACATTTACATCCCTAATTTACCCGGGAACATTTGATTAATGAAATCTGTTGTGGAATACACTAGCGTAATAATTTCCTTTATAACTGAGCTTTTATGTACATTGCTTAAAGTTACATAATTATTTTCATTCTACATTTTATTATTATATATAACCATTTTATATGATTTAAGAAATGAAGAAACTTAAGAACTTAAATGTACCAAATTAAAGTATTAAGTTTTATTATATTTATGACATCTAAGGACCTAGGAGAATACAAAATATTAAAACCAAAGTAAGAATTATAACTTCATTAAGTGGCACAAGTGTAAAGGAGTTTATTAAAATAGGACTCACAACATAAGCAGTGCCCTAAATGAAGGTAAATTATTGTATTTTTCTAGAATTTTAAAGCATATAACATTTGAAAATAATCAATACTTTGTAGTGAAACATGTTTATGAGGAGATTAATTTAGAAAATGAGACAAAAATCTTACTTTTTTCTGCTGATTAATTTATTTCTAATCTCCTTGACCTTTGATACATCCTGAGGTCAGTTACATTTGGCAAGATTTGAGAATAATTGCAACCATGGGTTTTCATACATTTTGTTCATACACTTTTTTCTATCTTTATTCATAAAATTTCTTAAAATCTGTAAATCTCTGTAAATGAGATTTTCTTAATATAAGTAAAAGCCAATACGTAATTGTGATTTTTAAAACCATAATAATAAAACTCTTGTGTTTTAAATCATGTTATTTTAATCCAGGCATTAACACTTTAAAATTTCATCTAAAGCATTATTATTTTCTTTTAATATTTTGTTTTTATTGTTGGAGAATTTATGAGAGTGGTTGATAAATTACCCAACTTGCAACAGTAGTTTTCTTCATGGAAATCGGTAATTCTCTTTCTTAAAAGAATTTGCACGTAACTGTCAAGAAAAATAGCCAATGTCAAAATAACGTGATAAGCATCATTAATGTGACTGAAGGGAATGAAAAAAAAATGAGTAGGGAGAGAGGGATGAGAGACTTGAGAGAATGCATTTCAGCCTGGAATTGGAAAATTTAGGGCCCAAGAACTTTCCTAAAAACTAAGAAGTTGCTAGAGTGTTAAGATTATAAATCTCACTCAAGACTATGTAGGGTAAATTACCTGTGTACTGAAACTTCAAATTTTTTTGTGCATAAAATATCTTATACTTGAATAAATGAAAATAAGCTTTCAAATAAAAATGAAAAATTATTACTTACTCTTTTCCCTAAATCAAGTAAAATATGCTAATTTTTCTTACAAAATAATTTGCCAAAGAACTTTGTTTTCTGGTAGTTATTACATGTGCTGTTTAAAAAAAATTATATTCAAAATGAAGAGAATAATTCATTTATTTTCCTAGGACATAAGACCAAGGAGTTCTCTTCTGTTAAAGTGTTTTCTGGATGATTAATTCCATCTGTGTTTGTCATTTCTGACTGGAAAACTTCTTACATTCAGATCTTGTTTGATATGGAGGAAAAACAACTGGATTGTCTGATAAGTCTACTAATAAACTATCCAGAAACATCAGTTGTAAAAAAAAAAAAAAAAGTGTTTTATTTATTTATTTTTTACATGTTAACAGATAAATTTTTCAGGTATATCTTGAGAAAAGGGAGTTTTACATTGTGCACTTCTCTCAGATGAGAATTGAAATACCACTATTTTTTTTTTTTTTTTTTTGTAATTGGTGGTTCTTTGCCTGGTGATAGAGGAGGGTATTAAGCTGAGATAGACATTTATATCATGTTCTTTGAGAATTTAAATTGTGTAAAGATGAAGATCACATACTCTTATCTGATGTTTACTTTCCTTTAAAATACATTGTGTGGGGGGCGCCTGAGTGGCTCAGTCATTAAGCGTCTGCCTTAGGCTCAGGTCATGATCCCAGGGTCCTGGGATCCAGCCCCGCATTGGGCTCCCTGCTCCGCGGGAAGCCTGCTTCTCCCTCTCCCACTCCCCCTGCTTGCGTTCCCTCTCTCGCTGTGTCTTTCTCTGTCAAATAAATAAATAAATAAATAAAACTTAAAAAAAAATAAAATACATTGTGTGGAATCTATAAATATTAACCACAGCAACAACAAAAACCTGTCCATTTTCTTCACTGTAGAAAAGTGATGGTGAAACTTTTCCACTTCGAATAGGCTGTTGTTTGCCAACAACATGGATAGATCTGAAGGGTATAATGCTAAGTGAAATAAGGCAGTCAGAGAAAGAGAAATACCATACAGTTTCACTCTTATGTGGAATTTAAGAAACAAAACAAATGAACAAAGGAAAAAAGAGACAAAACAAAAAAGCCGACTCTTAACTATAGAGAACAAACTGATGGCTACCAGAGGGGAAGGGGATGGGGGGATGGGTGAAATAGATGATGGGAATTAAGGGTACAGTTATCATGATGAGCACTGAGTAATGTATAGAATAGTTGAATCACTGTATTGTACACCTGAAACTAATTTAACACTGCACGTTAACTCCACTGGAATTAAATTTTTTTTAAATAAAATAAAAATTAGAAAAAGAACAACAATAAAAAAGAATAGGCTGTTTGATAGAGAAATCTGGCAGTATTATTTGATGATGATTTGCTGTACTTAAAGCCTTTGATCTCTTGCTGGGGAAAATGTTACATTGTTTGTTCTCCATTAGAATATTAAAATTATGATTACCGAATGATATGTAAGAGCATCGTTTAATATTCTATTGAGTTTTATAAGAAAATAGTTGCTTCTTAAAATACTATTATAGGGATTCACTCATTGAGAAATGTCTGTTTTATCCCTTACCCTTAAGTCAAGGTAATTAGTACACAGGTAACACACACACTTATGTGATTGGTTGATTAAATTAATTAAAGTTTCTATTTGATATGTAACCTAGAACAGTACTGTTGCAAGTTTGAAGCCTCCAAATCATGCATAAACCCATAAATTATGGAAAAAAAGTCATAAACTGGGGAAAAATTTTCCTGAATTTAATTAGATAATAATATATTACAATAGTATAAGTATGATGTGAACCTTTATACATCTAAAAATTTTCTAAGGTAATTTCACTCTCATTAATTAATCTTAAATAAAAGTATTCATGCTTCACTCAGAATTCAGGTACAAAAGCAATTAATAACATCTAGATTTTTCCCCTGTTCATAGGTTTGCTCTTAGCATTCTTGCTCATATTTCTTTAGAGGTGGGGATTACTTTAGCTGGGAAGTTATGGGACATGATCCTGGAGATTAGAAGGAATTAATTAATTAATAGATATAAAAAAAGGAGTTCTGTCTATATTCACTAAAAGTCAGAGATAGCTTATTATCATTATTTTATGACTTCAGGTAGCCTTCCCTTTGCTGTTTTATTACAATTTACTAGTAGTAAATACTCTCATTAAAACAGTTATTTTCAAAGTGTCTTTCTGGGGTCAGCAGTAGCAAACCACCTGAGAATTTGTTAGAAGTGCAAATTCTCACAGTATACCTAGACCTGCTGAATCAGAAGTTATGGGGATGGGGTTCTAGGAGTCAGTTTAAACAGCATTATAGATGATTCTGATCTACACTAAAATTTGAGAACCATTGGTTAAAGAAGGTGCTTATCACCTCTACATCAAAAACTAGTCATGTACTAACATAATAATAAAAAAAATTAAAGGAAGTGCTTACTTTAGTTCAAGAATAACAGAGTAAGGGAGAATATTGAGAATTCTCTGTATCTTCAACATGTCTTCAAAGTCCCACCCAGCTCCCTTTTTCTTGCCCAAAGTTGTTCCTCTAGAATATTCTCTTTTAAATGTTTGTGGAACTGCTCACACCAGTTTCCTCTCTGACTTCTTTCCCTAAAGCTGTTGACCCAGATAAGAGGAGACAAAGTTAGATAGAGGTGCTAATGGTAAGGCTTTGAGTGCACAAATGATTCAGATCATGCTGTTTCCAAGTTAGGAGAGAAGGAATCCTAGATTATTCCCTGACCCCTATTTAATCACTTAACAATGCAGTACTTTAGTTTTTAAATATTAGTAATATATTTGAAAGTTGTTCTATGATTAATTACTTTTTTGTCATTTATATTTTCCTCACATATAGCAAAATGTTACTTAGCTTTGTGGCAGAACTTTTATTATTTTGAAGCATTTTTTAAGTTTTGCTGTGTCCCTTGCAGGTTGTAGAATCCCAGTTGCCTTTCACAGAACAGTCATTCTACCTTTTTTTAAAGATTTATTTACTAATTTTAGAGAGAGAGCATGGTGGGGTAGGGCAGAGGGAGAAGAAGAGAAGGAATCTCAAGTGTACTCCCTGCTGAGCACAGGCAGGGCTTGATCTCATGACCCTGAGATCATGACCTGAGCCGGAATCTAGAGTCCTGGGCTTAACCAACTGAGCCACCCAGGCATCCCTGATCATTCTACTTTAGCTGCAGTCTTTAGAGTTAGCCTTATGACTGATGTGAAACTCTAAAGGGTGTCCCTTCTACTACTGAAGCTGTTACTATTCCATGAGTTAGAATTGTACATTTATGATTTTTCAAGATTTTAATTTAGAAGTAAACTTTATTTGACTTTTTGTATTGAATTATATTTACTAGTCTTTATGTCTTAATTTCAACAGCATCACTGCAAAACTTGAAAGAGCTTTAGAAAAAGTTGCTCCTCTTCTTCGTGAAATTTTTGTAGACTTTGCCCCATTCCTATCTCGTACACTTCTTGGCAGTCATGGACAAGAGCTATTGATAGAAGGTATGATTTCTCTCTATTCTAATTATTTTTAGTTTCCTATAATGTATCTATTACTCATGATATAAATTGTACTTCTGGAGGAATATTTATTGCCAAAAGAATATAAAGACATTGCTTCCACAAATTCTAATAAGATATTCATACATGCTCTCTTCTTATTCATTTTGAAAAATAACATGTTTTCACAGTCAATGATAATACAGAATGGAGAACTTTGAAAAAGTGTTGGACTAGGAGACTCTGGCTCTGAAAGTCCTAGTCTACCAGGGCTGCAGTATATCCTTCATTAGGTTGGTGTGTTTACTAAACAATACTCTCTAAAATTTCCTTTTAACTCTAAGAGCCATGCTTCTGTAAGTGACTTCCTTATTCACATAATACTTGTAATATGAAAATTCTTAACTGAGAAAATGTAAAGAAATACTTAACCTGGAATTGATAAAGCTATTGTCTTTTACTCAACAGCAGCTTAAATGGAATGAGAAGGGAAAGCAGATAAATTATTATGAAGATTTAATTAATGCTCCAGTATTAGGAGAGCAGCTTTTAAAAATATGGTTATCTGAAGCCTTAGTTCTTTAAAAAGTTTGTTTTATAAATATTCAAGAGCTTCAGAAAGGGGTAATCCATATCTAGATGATCCTGTGAATATATAATGGTTTTAGGTACTATTCCTTGAATTTAGCAGGCTTATGTATATTTTTTTGCTTTTCATTTTCTATTTACTGTCGTTTTCCTGTGATCTATCATTGTCGCAGCTGCTTTTACGCAACCTGTTTCTGTTAGGTGAGACAGTAATTGTTAATAACCTGACTGGGTTTAAATCTTTGTTCTACTACTATCTTAGCTCTCTGATCTTTGTGAATTATTTAGGCATTTCGTAACTTATGTTCTTTCTATAAAATATAGTCAGTGATAGCACCTCCCTCCCAGGGTTCTTGTGAAGATTAAATTATATAATGCATATAAAGTTCTTAGAACAGTGACACACAGGTGAGCTATTCATTTAAAAAAAAAAAAAAAACTTGAATTCTTGTCCAAGGCCAAGCATTTTCTTAGGTACTTGGAATGTATTAGTTTATAACAGACAAAGATGTGGAATCTAAAAAAGGAAACAAGTGAAAAAACAAAAGCAGAAACAGACCCATAAATACAAAGAACAAAGTGGTGGTGGCCAGGGGAGAGGGGGATGGAAATGGGCAAAATGGGCGAAGGGGAGTGGCAGACAGGCTTCTAGTTATGGAAGGAATAAGTCAGGGGGATGAAAAGTTACAGCATAGAGAATATAGAGAGTAGTATTTTAATAGCATTGTACAGTGACAGTTGGAAGCTACTTTTGTGATGAGCATAGCATAACATACAAAGTTGTCGAATCACTATGTTGTATACCTGAAACTCATGTAGCACTGTGTGTCAACTATACTTTATAAAAGAAAACAAACAAACAAACAAAAAACACCAACCTTAATTAAAAAAAAATCCCTGCCTTGTAGAGCTTATATTCTGGCAAGGAGAGGACATTTAGATAAGTATTGAACATAATAAATAAATTATAGACCATGTTAGAAGACGGTAAATGCTATGTTAAAGGATAAGTCCAACACAGGGGTTTGGGATTCTAAAAATGACAGGATCAGGTTGTGGTTTACTTAATAAATCACCCTCTTTAAAACTGCAACCCAACTCTGCCACTTTTAGAATCCCAAACTGCTGTGTTGAACTTACCTTTAACATAGCATTTACCATCTTCTAACATGCTCTATAATTTTAAATAGACCAATGATAAAAATTACATTTAAGCAAAGACTGAAAGGAGGTGAGTCATACAGCTTACTAGAAAAGCGTTTTAGACTGAGAGAATATTTAGTGCAATGACCCCCTAACGTGTTACTTTACCATAAGAAAAAAATTAATAAACATTATTGAAAAAATAAATCTTAAATATTTCCTCATTCACTAAAAGTCCCTTATTTTTTCTGTATTTACATATATATTTTCCTAAAATGATTTGACAAATTCACATGAGAAATATATAAATAGTGGTCCAAGACATGCTAAAACAAACAGAGCGTAAATTTAAAAATGTTAGTAATGAGTCCTTGTAGTGTTATTAAAACTGGGACACAAATCAACACTAAGTTTTCCAGCAGCCAAAGCAAAGAAGGAATTATTTTAAGTTATAAGACCATGTTCCTGGTTCCTCAGTGACAGTTTGTGACAATGTGAAGCCCTAAGGAATTACTGTGAGATAACTTTTAACTGTCTGTGTTGGTCGGGCAAGACCCCACCCCACATAGATAGCCCCTTTCCAAAATTTTCTATGACCAGGCATCTGGACTCTTTCTTATTTCTTCCCAGCACTACAGTGAGAAGGTAGGAGAAAAGGCTGGGTAGGTAATTGAGAGCTGTTTTTCTTGGGCTTCCCTAAGTTTACCTAAAATATTCTGAATTGAGTTGAAAGGGTATTAAGAACACACCTCTTGGATTTTTAGAAAAGTGACTATGCTAGAAATGAAACATTGGAACATGTTATATGTTGAAAGTTCACTTTGTGTTAATCTGGCAGAATACAATTTTATGTTGTAACTTTTCTGCATCCAAAGAGTTTAATATATCCCATTTTTAAAACTATGTGGATGTAATGTTCATATCCCTTTTTTGTGTTAAAAGTATTGTACATAATAAAATGATGATAGTAAATGGCAAAATTTTAGATTTAGAGTTATATTTTTTTAAATAGAAAGTTGACACAGTATGTCCTCCAAATTTCTGCCAATCAATACAATCCAAAAATCTAGAAACATCTGTAACAGAACAACATTCTGTATCCTTCACAATTTAGTTATAACTTTCCTTTTCAGACTTAACTAGTTTCTGTCCTTACTTTTATAGAAGACATTAATTAAACATGAAGACAAGTCACACGTTATCACATTTCCTTGTTTTTGTATAACTCTTCTTCTACATTTGATCTTTTTCCTTTTTTCTCTCCCCCAAATTATTCTCATCCTTTGAATCCTGTTTCCGATTCCTTAAGTCTAATTAATGTCTTCTCTTATGTGATCTTGTGCCATTTTATTTATACAATTTTGATAAAATTATTCATCACTTATAAATAGGAAATATCTTATTGTTTATATTGTATTGCCTAGCTTATTTTGGTATATAATATTCAGTATTTTTTCTTTATACTTGACTAGAACATTATTTTTGTTACTAATATTGGTAGAGGTAAGTTTTGAAAATAAGGTGATAAGACAGGTAAAATGTTGTGTTCTGTGGTAAGAATTCCCAGTATTGATCAGTCATCCACACCTGTGAGCAGGCTGCTATGCTCATCCAAGGTCCAGTCTTGCTCTCCACCCCCGTCTCTGGAAATACATGTCCTTTCATGTTCTCATTCTTGAACATGTATTCTTGATCATTCTTTTTCCCTCTCTTCCATTTCCCTCCTTTTTCTCATTTGAAACATTATTCCTCTCCTCTGAGAAGAAAAACTGTCAAACTATTATAAAGGACTCAGGAAATTTACATGATAAAAATATCTTTATGCTAGCCATTAAATATTTAAAAATAGTGCTTATGATGAATAAATCCCATTGCTTTTGACTTCATCATGTATATCTAAATGGTAGGAACAAAGCTGGATTTAGGTAAGTGAAGATATTTTATGTCCTATGAAAAGAGAAGGCAATTATTCTTAATTTCAAGTAAACATAAAGTGCATTTGAATGGCATCTTTACTTGTTTTATATTCATTTGTTCTTAATTTACACTTGTATTCATGTAGTTTTTTTTATAAAATAATCACTGATACTTTGTATTGTCTATGTCCTTTAAAATAGCTAAAATAGTGTTCTTTAATTTTCTTAATTTGTCTATCACTTTTATTAGTCATCCTGTGTTAAATTACTATTATGTGATTCTAAGAAAATTCTAGGTTTTAAATTTGTAAACTAATGCATAAAAATTAGAGTCAGTATATATGCAAGTATCAAAATCCACCAGCCCAAGATGACAAAACAACCTTTGGTCCAATGGTTATATTTATTTGGTTTGCTGTAGCAATGGAGGATGCACTTCAGAGGTTCAGTTGTATATTCAGGAGTCCTAAGAACAACTACAGTGAGCCTAGAGTTATCATTAGTAATAAAGAATCAGTAATCACCTAAGTTAATTAGAAGAAAAAACGTTTAGGGGTGGGGGGGGGCTGTGGGTGTGTGTGTGTTTGTTAGCCTAGTGTCCTTTACTCTGTCTTATTCCACCATAGCAGAGTGGCCCTGAGAAATCACTATTTATATTCTGTGAGCATTATTTATGTTTGGTTGAGAACTCACAAGAGTATTAAAGGTAACTTAATTATGATGCGGATACAGCAGAAAGTCTTACAGCATCCAAAGTCAGGAAATGAAAAATAGGTAGACGTCAGGCAACCTTGAAACGGGAGAGAAGAGTCAGTACCAAGGCTGCTCCCTTTGACTCTCAAGGCAACTTTATAGCCTTCCATATTTGCTTCTCTCTGTGTATCAAATCAATTTTTCACTTCTTTCCCCGATTAACTTCACTTTTTTAGTCATCGGAACCTGGCCCAGTATAGTACCCCACCCTGACTCCAAATGTGCTTTTAATGTAAATGTCTTTCATCAGTTGACTATAGTCACTGTATAGAAGAGAGGATCTGTGTGGCTCAGCCTTGTGTCTACCTCAGTTACAATCAGCTAAGGTTGGGGTAGATGGGAAGGGTGAAGTTGGGTGTAATATATAGGCTGCCTCTTTTAGAAGCTATATATGTAAGTTTAGAAGCTATATGTATAAGTAAAACATATTAGAAAGGGATGGTCGCAGTGCAGGAAATATTATACTAAAGTGTCTATTACACTTTTGGTAATGTTAATAAATGTTTTATTAAAGTCATAAAATACTCAAGAATAAGTTTCCAAGACTAGCATTTTTTTATAATAGCATGGAATTTCCCCTCAACCAAAAGAGAACATCATTAA